TACCTCTAGGGCATAAAAATCCTAAACAACCATAGAGAAACTGGCATCGTATTCTTGATTAGGTTGTCTTTCGAAAGAATACATCATCTGAATCATTATAATCGGACAACTGAATAAGTCGCAATAAAAGTAATTACAGGGTGATGCATTTCACATGCATATAAAGAAATCAACTTAATACTTTTCCCACTACAACTCACACAAGTGGGTGTGGCGCAATTGATTGGCCGCATCAATTGAAGTAGCCACCATTATAATATTCCTTTTGAATCAGGCCTTCACCATTGGGTGGACTTACACCTATAATGGGTTGGACCAGATCACGGCCCACAGCCCAACAAGTTGTTTTCGTCAAAAACATACCCGAAAGGCCTGAGTTGAAGTTTAGGGAGTCCGAGTCAAATTTCGTTGACGTTTGCGGTGGCAAAACAACTTTCTGGTATCAAAGTCAAATCTCGTTTAATTTTGTAAAATTCTTTTGAGGGGAAAGAAGTTTTAAGGTATCAAAATTAAAATAAATAAATAAATAAAGTAGACTCCGGGGTATGTAATACCAAAACGATCCTTATAAATTATAATTCTAGCTGCAACCCAACAAGAACGACAATACAACTAAGATCAGCCAAGAAAAATTTGATAGTGTTTTACAATAATTAGAATTCATCAAATAATTAAAACTCAAGTTATAGCTCATTGTCTTGTAAATAAATTATATTAAAAAAAAACTCTACACACTGAAAAAGCTAAGAAAGGTAAAATAATTCATGTGAAAAATTAAATACCTGCTCAAATACTTCAACTAGATCCATGGCCCAAAAAAAAATAAAAAATAAAAAATAAAAACAATTCAAGTTTGTGTTTGAAAACAATGATACAAGAAAATTACCTCAAGATAATGCAACGTGATAGAGATAGACAACTTCTTTTGCATCATATAAGAGATCGAACCCGCCATTGGCCGAAGGATTCATTGTGAACTCAGTGTTTGATGATGTGTTCAATTTTTTACATTTTCATGTGTTTGCAGTTGGTAAATGTATCTTAATGCAAATTTAATTTTGGGTTGAAAAATAATTGGTGTAGAATTTATATCATTTTATCACGTAGCCTAAACTTTCCTAGTTCCCTCATATCTCACTTCCTGATCATTGGGGGTTTTTTTTTTTGAGTAAAACGGTAATTTTCATCCATGTTTAGTCTATACTGAGCACACTTTCTCTCAGAACCGGTCGCATGCGATCACCGATTCTGAGCCGGTTCAAAGTTGTATTCTGCGGGAGGCAAAATTGGAACTTTACCCCCCATTTGATGGCTCAAAACCGGTCACCGCATGCGATCGGTTCTGATAGGATGTGTAACGGTCTAGACTTAAATCTTTATTGATGGATCTAGACGGTTAGATACACAAGTAGAAGTCTATGCAAGAGGTTTTGATACATGTATTGTGCAAAATAAGGGTCAGTTTGGACATTTCAATGTTTCTTGTACGCAAAACACGCCCATGGGTGCAAGGTTCTAATAGGACTCCTATTCGACTAATTACTAATACATCAAACCTAGATGTTGGGAGCCTCTAATGATTTGGAGGACTAAATAACCAAATACTGTAATTGTGAGGCACTAAAATCAGAGTAACTCTTCAGTCGGGTTGGATTTCCTTCCAACGAAACCCAATTGAACTTGAAATTACAAACGTACCCTTATCCCCGCTCTCACAACGCACGAGACAAACTATAAATAGCCACGTGTACATAACTCCACGCGTCACTACGTTATTGGCTCAATTACCTCATTACATGTAGTCGCTCGATTTTTCTCCCGAAAGTAATAACTAGAAATAAACCCCTCGGTTTCCCTCCCAATTCTCGAGCTCTCCATCGAGATCTAACCTCCAAAAACCCTAACCCGAGCCCTAATTCGAGCTCGCTAATGCAATAATCATGAGGTCTTTCATTCTCCTCATCTCGATCCTCTCTCTGATCGCGATCCCCACCGATTCCGCGGTCTCAAGCATCGATCTCGGATCGGAATGGCTAAAGGTCGCCGTCGTCAACCTCAAGCCCGGACAATCCCCGATCGCGGTTGCAATCAACGAGATGTCGAAGCGCAAGTCCCCCGCCCTAGTCGCCTTCAACTCCGGCGACCGCTTAGTCGCCGAGGAGGCCGCCGGACTCACCGCCCGGTACCCTAACAAGGTCTATTCCTCTCTCCGTGACATGATCGGAAAACCCTACGCCTACGTACGCGAAAAGATCGAATCTTTGTACCTCCCTTTCGATCTGGTCGAGGATTCGAGAGGCGCGGCCGGGATCAAGATCGATGACGGCGTCACAATCTACTCGGTTGAGGAGCTGGTTGCAATGATTTTGAGCTACGGATCGAACCTAGCGGAGATGCACGCCAGGGTTCCGGTTAAGGATTGTGTTATTTCGGTCCCGCCCTTTTTTGGGCAAGGGGAGAGGAAGGGGTTGATGCAGGCGGCGCAGCTGGCGGGGATTAATGTTCTGGCATTGATTAATGAGCATTCGGGTGCCGCATTGCAGTATGGGATTGATAAAGATTTCTCGAACCAGTCGAGGCATGTGATTTTTTATGATATGGGATCGAGCAGTACTTATGCGGCTTTGGTGTATTTCTCAGCTTATAATGCTAAGGAGTTTGGGAAGACGGTTTCAGTGAATCAGTTTCAGGTGAGTCTTTGCCTTTGTTATATGATTAGTGTTTATATGCGAATGGCTCACTTTCTATTTTAATAGAGAAAATTCCAGCTTGCAAATGTCATTAGAAACATCTAATGCAGTTCAAACGTATATGTCTGTTAATTATTTGTGCGAATACTTAGTGTTATATAAGTAGCAGTTAGCAGTGCTATAGAAGATATCTGAAGATATAGTCATATTTGATAAGATAGTTGAACTTTGAAGAGCTAATTAAACAACTATTTGGTCATTAAGAGGCCTTATCAAAAGCTAACGCTAGAAAGTGAGCACTTTTGTCATTTGTTTATGGCAAGGATGCATAGGTGATAAATGAGATCAACATCATAGATCCAAAGGTTTCTGGAAGTTATTTAATCTATCATTCTTTTAATCCGTGAATGATTGGCTGAACTGTAATGAATACTTTCAAATACTCAGTTGTCATCCAATGGACTACTGATTGTAAAATTCACTCAACCTTTCTTTTGGAGCTCTATCAATTTATCCGTTGTGTTCCAGAGTTGACTGGATCTGGTAGAAAAAGAGAAAGGTCGTGAATAACTACAACCATAATGATGAGATATGTCTCATGGGATATCAATTGGAAGGCACAGATTGAGTATCCTTTTATGCTGGTTTCATGTGGGAATAAATTAGGATTGACCGACTATGGAATATATTTGCATCTGATAAAAGAAACTTGCCTACCATACATGGCATTGTATCAGGTTCTTACCTGTCATGTGCCTTTCGTTAGGTCTTAGGTAGCCTCTACTCTCTAGCATCTTGGGCAAATCACTGAATTTGGATGGAGGAATATACTATGTTGATACTTTATACTTAACCAAACAGAGCCCTTGAGGACAAGGAGATAATATACGTAAACTATATAATATGTGATTGTTATCTCAAGATTCTCAAATGGGCGTGAAAGGGGGAAAAAGGTATGAATTATATATTATGGTTGAGAGATATCACATACAAAGAATCAAGTTCGAATTAGTTTTTCATGGGATTGGAATTTAGTGAAAAAAGCTGTGTCAAGGCTTTAGATAACTTTTTTGACCTATCAATAACTGGTTGTAACTTATAAGTCATGATTATGTAAGAGGACAAAAATAAAACACGGTGTTAGATCACAAATTTTTATGTGAATTTGGAAGATTTGAGGAATCAAACTAATGTGCAATTTAATTATATTAAAGCAACAAAACTAGATGGTGACATATAGTAAAAACTTGGGTGATTAGTAGTGGGTAGCTAGACTGGTGGAACTCATGTAGAGCTGGCACTGACTGGTTGGAACTAGCCATGTGGTCTGACACACTTAGCAAAGAGTTCTGCAGGCTAAACAATACTTGTATTTGAATTTGTAGTCTTAGTATTGTTTGGTTTAGCCTTGAACTGATTGTTGGAAAAAAACACATAGATGATTGTGGTCAAGAAATTTATTTAAATATAACAGAAGAGAAAGTTCATATTTTTGTTTCATTGTGTTCTATTTCTTTTGTCATTTACTTATCATCTATCAAAGGCTGCCAAGAATCATCCTAATCATTTGTCCAGCGGAAGCTTATATTTAGGAGCATTATTGACATGTTGTACATATTTATATGCTGTATTTTTGTGCCTTTCTCAAGATTTTCCCTTGATGATTTGTGTGGTCAATTTTTCCTACTGATGTACAGTAAAATTCTCTCTACTTTTCCTTTAAGGTCTTGATTAATGTTAGTAACTCAAAGTTTGGTCCTTAGCAAATTTGGTACCTAATAACAAGTTGAATTCTGACAGGTTAAAGATGTTAGATGGAATACTGAACTTGGAGGTCAGAAGATGGAATCCACTTTGGTGGAATATTTTGCTGATGAATTTAATAAAAAATACTGAACTTGGAGGTCAGAAGATGGAATCCACTTTGGTGGAATATTTTGCTGATGAATTTAATAAAAAATTGGGAAATGGTGTTGATCTTTGGTGGAATATTTTGCTGATGAATTTAATAAAAAATTGGGAAATGGTGTTGATGTAAGGAAGTCTCCGAAGGCGATGGCTAAATTGAAGAAACAAGTTAAACGAACCAAAGAAATCTTAAGCGCAAACACAGCAGCACCAATTTCAGTTGAATCGCTGTATGACGATATTGATTTCAGGTAGGAAGAATGTTGATTACCTTCAGATATTATACTTAGAAGTTAATTTTATTTATTTATGGTTTATACGAAATTAGTTTCAAGGTTGCTCTGTATTATGCTGATTCACTTAGTAACTTCGATACCCAAACTCTTCTAATGCGCATTTTTGGCATGTTTTTTTCTGCTTTGTATCCTCTCACCTTGAGACACTTAACACTTAAAAGCAATGTTTTAAATGTCGGATGTCGGGTTCCTGTCGGTTGGCCAAAATTCATGTCGGATAGCGGAAATCGGGGATATATCGGGGGCATGAAAAAAAATATCGGATTGCCATATCGGATAGGTTGATATAATATCATAAATAGAATCTTCACATACATGATAATTATATTGTCTAAACATATGAAAAAGTACATAACTTATTGATGTTAAGATCACTAACCAATTGTAGACACCTGATTTCCGAGTCGGGTTTTTCAAACTTGACCCAATAAGCTTAAAACCGCTTTTTCTGAAATTTGGCCGATATTTCTTGGCCGCAATGGCGCCCGACATACCCGATATTTTCCGACATGTCCCCGACATGACCTCAGAAACGCAATACGCATTGAAATGAAGGATATCGTGACGGCTAGAGTATAAAACCGTCATATCGGCCGCCATGTCGGACATGGCGGCCGATATTTAAAACACTGCTTAAAAGCTACCAGAATATCTTTTCTTTATCACATTGTTGCAATATATTTTTCAAATGATAATTTGGAGAGATCATTTTTTTGATCAGAGAGGTCCTAATTGTTGGGGATAACATGCATGTGTGTATGCATGTGTTTGTGGTTTATTTGGTTTTGCATGTCTGGCAGTGTTTGATGTCGAACCAAACGCCTGGTTGTGTTGAATGTGCTTCAGATTCTTGGTCGTACATGTATTTCTTATGTCAATTTTTAAATTAGTAATGAGAACTTCATGTTTCTACTTTCTGTTTTATTTTTTGGCTATATTTTATTGCTTTTATCTTCTGAAGAAGCTTCCAGCCCTGAAAGCTGAATCTTTAAGTGCCGGTTTGCTCCTGGTTTTACTTCCCACAACATTTTTTTGTTTTTTTTTCTTTGGTCTGAGCGAGGACAATTTGGCCTCCATGCTTACTGTCCTGTTTGATGTTCAAAACTTTTGCTTGGTGTTTCCTTTCTTCCAGAAGTAGCTGGTGTTTCCTTTCTTCCAGAAGTAGCTATGCGAATTACTAGGTTGCATCATTATATGCAATCTAGGAACTAGAAAATGTTTTTTATGTGGAAGTTAGTCAATTCTTGGAATTCTGGATTAACTATTTGCCCTTTTTCTTAAATGCAATTTTAAAATTTATTTCTGACTTTTAGAAACTAGACAAGATCAGAAGATCCCCTCAAAAACTTAGTTGACTGGGGTTCGTGAAGCATGGTGTCTATGTTGTGTTACTGCAGTCTGCATCCTCCTTGTATTATATTTTCTCTGCATCCTCCTTATATTATATTTTCTCTTGAATTTCCAAGCTTGTTATTTTTTGAGGTAAATTTGTGGCATATTTTGTTTATACCAATTCGGTTCTGATTGTGTTTCCTATCCATTTTTGTCTGCCAGGAGCTCAATAACTCGTGAGAAATTTGAAGAACTTTGTGGGGATTTGTGGGAACAAGCCCTTGTTCCTCTTAAGGAATTACTCAAGCACTCTGGCTTGGGGGTTGATGATCTTTATGCAGTTGAGCTGATTGGTGGAGCAACTCGTGTGCCAAAATTACAGGTTACACTGATTTTGCAATTCTTTGGACTATATATCTGTCTTTCTCGTTTTAGTATTGCAAGATGTGCAATAATGTTTTGATTTACATTATTACATTGCTTTAGCTTTGTCGTTTTGCAACTCATCAAACTAGATCTCTTCCACTACTGTGGCAATACTTTCTTGGAGGCACTATCATGTATTGTGGATTGCATGTTCACTGAAGTTTAAATGTCTCAATTGCTCTTGTTTACCTTGTTTTCTGAAAGAAACATTTCAAAATTTTTTTGGTGTGTTCCTGTATATATCTATCTATGAATTTTGTTTTTTTTCTGCAGATTAGTATTTCTAGAACTCTTGTGTGTCAAATTATAAAGAAACAGTTCTTGGTCCATGAGAATGTAAGGGTTGGTAGCTGACAGTTAAAGCCTTGTCATTCAAATTGAAAACTCATAAAATATCATTTGATTAAGGCATGTTTTAAGTATTTAAGCTCTGTTTGCTAGGACTCTAGATGGACTAGGGCCTGTAGTTTTGACTTAAGAACAAATCTCAGAAAACTTAGGATCTTCACTAGGAGCTTTGGATGTTTTATTTTGATACCATCATATGTTTATCTCATTTACTGTATTTTATTATTGTTTTAAGCTTATATGAACCGTGTAGTAATCAAATTTGAGTGAACATTAATTGACTTAGTTATTTTATTTCTGATGCATCAAGAGATTTAACTATGCAAATGACAGTATATTTGTATCTATATAGATCACCTGATCACGTAATATATTTTTAGTCCTGCCATCTTGCAAATTTTTAGATTCATGTTATGTTCAAGGTGACTTTGGTATGTTGGTATTTGAGTTTAAAGACTTCGTGCATAATATTTTCATGTCTGGTAGTTTGTAGTTATGATTAATATGCTCTTGAATGGAAGACAGATACATCAGGCAGTTCAAATAAAAGGTTGATAGGGTTGTATTTTATCAGCTCTGTTGCCACATTGCTCATTCTTTTGTAACTTCTTGCAGGCTAAGCTTCAGGAATTTCTCGGAAGAAAAGATTTAGGCAAGCATCTTGATGCTGACGAAGCAATTGTTCTTGGTTCTTCATTGCATGCTGCTAATTTAAGTGACGGAATTAAGTTAAACCGTAAGCTGGGAATGATTGATGGTTCTTCTTATGGCTTTGTGCTTGAACTAAATGGCACAGATCTTGTGAAAGATGAGAGTACAGAAACTTTACTTGTACCGCGGATGAAGAAAATGCCCATTAAGGTCAGTATCTTTTTGTAAACATTGCTTTGGGTTCTCCAGACGTTTCTAGTTTAGATTAACTTGTGGGCATATAGTTTTTTGCTTACCTAATTGACTAATTCTACTATTTACTTTCAGTTGTTTAGGTCTATCAAGCATACCAAGGATTTTGAAGTTACACTCAGTTATGACAGTGCAAATGAATTGCCACCAGGATTTCCTTCTAATAACTTTGCACAGTTTTCAGTATCTGGTCTGACAGAAGCCAATGAGAAGTAAGATAATGTTCAATTGATATTTCTAATGTTTATATATGTGAAGAGGATAGTGCTTAGATATAATTTTTGTCTTGGTTAAGATATCCAGCGTAAGATGTTTATGCTGCTTTTCTGTGTTCTTTTTTAGGTATGCAACTCGTAATCTCTCCGCCCCCATCAAAGCAAATTTGCATTTTTCTCTTAGTAGAAGCGGAATCATTTCTTTTGATCGAGCTGAAGCAGTGATTGAGATAACTGAATGGATTGAAGTTCCCAAGAAAAACAAGACTTTAGAGAGTAACATTACTAACATTCTTAATGTCTCTAGTGAAGCAAACCCTGAAAACAACTCACAGAACAAACAAGAAAGCTTAAATGTTGAGAGTGAGACAGATAATTCCACCAATTCAAATCACGAGGGGCAAGATAGTGTTGATGTCGCTACAGAAAAGATATTGAAGAAGAGAACCTTTAGGGTTCCACTGAAGGTATAACTTGAAACATAAGATTCATATGGAATGTTAGTACTCTGTCAGTTAAAGTGGCCAACCGATATAAATTAATTGCGTGTGATGTGGCTAATTAATCACCATTGTTGTTATTTATTTATTTATTATGGTGTAGATAGCAGACAAAACATCAGGCCCTGGTACTATTCTTTCGAAAGATTCCTTTTCCGAAGCTAAAACTAGACTGGAAGCACTTGACAAGAAAGATGCTGAAAGAAGGAGAACTGCAGAGCTAAAAAATAATCTAGAAGCATACATTTATTCTACAAGAGAAAAGGTTTGCAATTATCTTTAACATGTAATTGAGTTGATTATATATGATGACTGTAATATTTCGTCCTCTATAGACATAAAACAGTTCAGAGCTATGTTACCCACGTACTTCTATAAGGAATCCGTACCCTACCGGACACGTACCCAACACTTTTCCGTACCCAAACTTCATGGACACTTCTTGAATATATGCATGCATTTATTATAGCATGTACTCATTATACGATATATCTGTTAATTTAAAACACTTGTCAAACACTTCTTGGATGTATAACTTACACTTAACATCCGTTTCTTGAAACTAGTTGGATAGGGGTCGGGTTTGTTTTAGTCCATACCCAAGTTCAAAACTATATAGTTAAAGGGTCGTTTGGATGTCTAGTAAAAAAAGTGAGTAGTTTCCAATTTATGATAATCAATATGATAAAAGAAACTTATAAATTTGATCGGAATTTTAATTCTAATGGCACATGAAGCGAAAAAAATGATCTCATGTACATTATTAATTCTATATGTTTGTGTGTGTGTTTTTTTGTGTTTGTGTGTGTATGTATGTAGCCGTGTCCTCATACCCTACAATTTATATTTTTGCCGTGTCTCGTACCCGCACCCGTACCACTACCAGTACATGTATCCATGCAACTTAGGTTCAGAGTTAACACATACTTTTACCTGGCAATAAGTTATTATATGATTTTAGTTGTCTATCGTAGATCAATCGATAATTTATAGTACACATTGATTTACATATTATGATCTTCTTGATGTTCAAAATTGAAATTCGTTCTACTCTATCTGGGGAGATGCACTGTTCAAACTCTTTCTTCAAAATTCTCCAGCAAAGTTTTCTTTTATTGTATGTGCGTCTTGATTCTAACTCTTGCTCTGCATTCAGAAGTTTGAGTTTCTACTAAGTGATCAATGTAAAAAAGGAATTTTTTCTAAATATATATAAATATCACCATTTTACTTTCCTTGTTTTAGAAAATTAGGTTTTGACTTTCAAGTTATGATTTATTTCCTTGTTATTCAATATGTTTTTGTCAGCTTGAAGATGATGAAGAAATTGTGAAAGTCTCAACAGAAAAAGAGCGCCAATCCTTTGCAGATAAACTTTCTGAGGTAAGCTTTTATAAACAGTGAACTGAATTTTGTATAAACGTGCAAGCAAAATAAAAATGAAAATTGCAGGTTATTAGGGAATGTCTGCTTTCGATAAAATGTATTTTAAGGTTCACTTGTCATGAAATGGACTATTCTAAAAGTTATTGACACATGGCAATTAGTACAAGTTTTATGATATCCATGATTCGTTTGTACAGGTGCAAGAATGGTTGTATACTGATGGCGAAGATGCTGCAGCAAGTGAATTCAAAGAACGCCTGGATTCTCTGAAAGCAATCGGCGACCCAATATTTTTCAGGTTACCCTTCATTTTTTTAGTGTCAGTGATGTTAGACATGACATGGCACGTAGTTTGATCTGTTTTATACTTTCTGCAGATTGAAAGAGTTAACTGTTCGTCCGGTTGCCAGCGAACAAGCTCGATTGTACATTGGTGAGCTTCAAAAGGTACGTATCCTATGGAAATCATGCGGCATGTACTATTTCTATATACATGGACTTACATATAGTTAGGAAAATTAGGTACCCATATAAATAATTGTTGTCTGGGCTCTACTATGACACAACAGATTCATGTTGGATACTTATGTTTGATTAGCATAAAACTTAATGATCATGAACATGTATTACAGACATCACTTCCAGAAAGGATAGCAGGAAATCTGCAAGATGTATTTTATTTAAATGGTGACGTATGAGACTAAATAAATGCCAAACCTTGAAAGTTCGATCAATTGATCAGACCATGAAGATAGTATTCAAGTTGCTAGACCCTTTCATATTAACTTTAGTGCTGAATCCACGAGGCTTGTGCTATTTTTTGTATATGAATTACAATTAGTTTGGGACATCTAGATAACATGTTAATAACGTATTTAGGCTCCAACTATTGTGGCTGGAATAATTGGGGTTAACTGGATTGTTGCTCGCTGCATTTATCTCCTAATTGGACCTTCATGTCTATATTTTATTTATACCTATATATTAATTGCTTTGATGGCTGATCACACAACAACCACCACCACCAAACCTTTATCCCAAATGTTCAGGGTCGGCTACATAAATCCTATTTTTCCATTCCATCTGTTATGGGTCTTCTCCTCCGTTAAGTTAGTCCTAATTATATCCTTCTTAATTGCTTCTAACCAAGTCATTCTAGGTCTACATCTAGATCTCCTGGCCCCATTAACTCTAATATTATCGTTTTTCCTAATCGGTGCACTAAGGGGTCTCCGTTGTACATGACCAAACCATCTTAATATATTCTCTCTCATTTTATCCTCAATAGGAGCACCCTCTAATTTACTACGGATGCACTCATTTCTTATCATATATTTTAATGTATATCCACAAGACCATCGCGACATTCTCATTTCTGCTACACCCATTGCTTGGATGACCAATCATGTAATTAAATACTAATTAAATTGCTTGTCACTTTTAATTTTAATGCTTTTCGTCAATTGACATAACAGATTTTGGGGGCATGACATAAAAACATCTTGATCATTTACATATGATTACTTACGGAAATGAAATTTTGTGACTTGTCGGGCAACCTGTATTGGGTTTGACAGTTTGTTCTTGAAAATATATTAAGTTGTATTAAAATAAATACAAACATGCATTTTAAATTGATTATAGGCGTTAGAAGTGACTAATAATCCAATTAGTATTTCATTACACGTTGGTCATCCAAGCAATTAAAACATAGGTATGGAAGTCCAATTAGGAGATAAATACAATGACAAATTATCCAATTAGCCCAAATAATTTAAGAAGAATAGTACAAAATCTACCTTATAGTACCATATTGAAGTTGTTGATATATGAGGTGTAATAAGGAATGCTAAACCTTGAAAGTTTGATTGATCAGTGAGAACCATGAGCATAATATTCAAGTGGTAGGTTCTTTCACAATTATTTTGTTGCTCAATTGCTCAAACTAACCAACCATTTTAACATGTCAACAAAAAGCTTAATTAAGTAGTTTTTTCAAATTTGTAATGTAACTGAAGATTCTTTTTAAATTGATATGCTTCTCATTGTGTATGGAGAACTGCAATCTTTTTTTGTCAAGAAACTTCTATATATGTGAGTACTGTCAGTGGCAGATCCACAATTTTATTTAGAATCTACATAGACTATTTTACAATTTTATCCTCCTTACTGGTGTCCTACTCTAATCCTAATGGGGTCCTGAGTAGTGAATACAAGTAACTAGAAATATCTATAATCTATAATGTAGGGAGCTGAGTTGCGTTCTGTGACACTGCTGAACACTATGTCGCTCCATCACTGAGTGCCTTAGTGGAACGGGATCAACCCTGATATATTAACTATACTAAGATAAATTAATTCCATTATATCAAGACCATGAGATTTCATGTAAATGGATAAGCAGAATTATTTGTCAACCTTGGCATGGAGTCTCACTGCTTCGCTCACAATAATTGGAGGTTCAACCACCTGTTGAATCTGCAGATTATTATCAGAACAACTCGAAACATGCAAAATATTTTAAATTAATTCCATTATATCAAGACCATGAGATTTCATGTAAATGGATAAGCAGAATTATTTGTCAACCTTGGCATGGAGTCTCACTGCTTCGCTCACAATAATTGGAGGTTCAACCACCTGTTGAATCTGCAGATTATTATCAGAACAACTCGAAACATGCAAAATATTTTAAATTAATTCCATTATATCAAGACCATGAGATTTCATGTAAATGGATAAGCAGAATTATTTGTCAACCTTGGCATGGAGTCTCACTGCTTCGCTCACAATAATTGGAGGTTCAACCACCTGTTGAATCTGCAGATTATTATCAGAACAACTCGAAACATGCAAAATATTTTAAATTAATTCCATTATATCAAGACCATGAGATTTCATGTAAATGGATAAGCAGAATTATTTGTCAACCTTGGAATGGAGTCTCACTGCTTCGCTCACAATAATTGGAGGTTCAACCACCTGTTGAATCTGCAGATTATTATCAGAACAACTCGAAACATGCAAAATATTTTAAATTAATTCCATTATATCAAGACCATGAGATTTCATGTAAATGGATAAGCAGAATTATTTGTCAACCTTGGCATGGAGTCTCACTGCTTCGCTCACAATAATTGGAGGTTCAACCACCTGTTGAATCTGCAGATTATTATCAGAACAACTCGAAACATGCAAAATATTTTAAATTAATTCCATTATATCAAGACCATGAGATTTCATGTAAATGGATAAGCAGAATTATTTGTCAACCTTGGAATGGAGTCTCACTGCTTCGCTCACAATAATTGGAGGTTCAACCACCTGTTGAATCTGCAGATTATTATCAGAACAACTCGAAACATGCAAAATATTTTAGTCTGAAATCTCCATTTGTGCATAGGCCTATATTCTGAAATCTCGATTTGTCTTAGTTTGGTCTATATAGTTCGAAGATTTATCTTCCAAGTAGCATAGGTAGCTTATTAGGTTTATATATACAATCCTTCATAAGAGCCTTGTTATATTCTTCAATTGAAACTAGTTTTTACTCTTTCTGATGATGACGTCATTAAATGGCTTGCATAGCCATCACCTAGCTATTATCTCATATACAAATCTTGGTTCTTTAGGGTGTGTTCGGATGTTCGGGTGGGTGTTGGATGGAAGTTAAAGTGAAATTTCATTTTAATCTTGTTTGGAAGTTTTTTTTTGAGGGGTTAGAGGATGGAATGGAAGACTAAATTTTCTTCTATTTTACTCCCCTCCAATTTGGGGGTAGAGAATGGAATGTTCCTTCCCCCCCCCCCCCCCCACCCACCCAAAAAAAAAAGGAAAAAAATTGGGCGGTAGAGGATGGAATGGAAATCTGAATAAAATTTCACAATATGGTAGGACAATTATACCCTTATAATATTAAAATCAATGGCTAAGATATACCCTCATCTTAATAATATGTAAGGGTATTATGTGATTTTATATATATTCACTTCACTCCCCTCTTCTTTATTAGAACTCCCAAACAAGGTAAAATAAATTTACTTCCGTTCCACTTACAAAACTCCTAAACAACATTTTATTTTTCACTCTTCTTCCCTACCTTTTCTTTCCATCATTTACTTTCCGTCCCTTCCCTTAGTAAACTCCCAAATAAAGTGTAACTAATCCTTTTCTTTTGGGTGCTCCTGCAGATTGTAAGTAATTGGGAGGCGAACAAACCTTGGCTTCCCGAGGATAGAATAGATGAGGTATGTTCTTTTGCCTTAAAGTTATACATGTTATCGGGTAGTGTGAATTGGTAATAGGTAAATTGGTTACATTGAATTCTTAATAGATGGATTTAATCAAAGCATTGATTTGGCTTTAGATATGTGATTTCATAACCAGAAGTAAACCTGAAAATTTCAGGTTCTTAGTGAGGCTGAGAAGGTCAAAGGTTGGCTAGAAGAAAAGGAGACCCTACAGAAAGGGTATGTTTTCTAATGCTCTTAGGAAGACTACTTTTTGGATATATTTCTTCAAGTTATTTACTATAACCTATTAATTCAGAATGTAAATTGAAGTTGTCTTTCTTATGCTGTAGGCTGGCATTTTACACTTTCAAATATTAGCTTTCCTTGTTTTGTTATTCGTGTTGCAGTGTCGTTTTTTATATTTTGTGTAGTTTATACACTAGTTTATTTCACATCACATGAACCTCGCGGGGCCACTTTTTTGTATGTTCCTGATGGACTTAGTCTTTTCTTTCTTTTTGCAGGAAATCCGACTCAGAGACGCCGGCCTTCACATCGACAGAAGTGTATGAAAAGCTCTACAAACTTCAAGATAAGGTAATGTATTCTACTTTGGAATTTTTAACTATAAAGCCCTGAAATCTGCCGTATTTTTAAATTTACCCCCCTAAGTCTATAGCCTAAGCTTTTTTATTTTTTCTTAAAACTTTTAACAGAGATAAGATATTTCATGTTCTCTAAATCATAATGTCCTAATATTTTAAAAACCGGAAATAAAAAGAGAGAAATACTAAAACGTTTTTGTCATGCTGTAGGTTTCAAGTGTCAACAGAATCCCAAAACCAAAACCAAAGGTTGAGAAACCACCAAAGGAAGAACCTCAGAAGAAGGAAAACACCACCAATGCCACCCCTGATAGTGACGATAACTCGAAGACCTCTTCCAATGAGTCCACTACTCAAACAGATCAGCCTACAGATGAAAATTTGACCAAAAATGATCGAGAAACCGAGCCTCACGATGAACTATGATTTAGTTCTAGCAGAAGCCAAGAATATTCAGATGGCATAGGCAAATATCATCACATCTCTTGTTAACCCCAGTAGTCTAGAAGGATTAAAGCTTTTGCAGGCAACAATTTTGTCACGATGATTGAGTTGGTCTAAAATGCATCATTTAGTTCTTAAAATATCGAAGAATGCAGAGTAGAGGGCGAGGTTACTATAGTTTCGTTTTGTTTTTACGTGGATTAATTATGAACCCCTATTTATTCAGGGGTTATTGTGTACACTTATAATCATTTCAAAGTATATAAAGTGAACATCAGCTGTTGCGTTAATGGTCATCCGTTTGCATGTCCTCTTTGATTCCTCCATCTGCTACGTCCTTGCAAAACATATTTACCCTTTCGATTATGTTTGTTTCTAGTACTGGCTTCGGTGCGTGTAAGAAAAATTTAAATTTTTGTGTGAACCTTGCTATATCTGGAATGTTTTATTTGTATGATAGCATAAGTAGATAAACGTACGAGTAAAGTTCATGTGAATTTAAGTGGATAGAAGCTATGGTTCATCAACTTATCCATTAATTTTACGTTGAGATTCTTGCTAACATTTGATACACACCAAAATAATCTCAATGTGTTGCACGAATCTCAAAGTAAGATTTAAGGGATAGAAATGATGGACTGTAGTTGAGAACATACCTCGTGCATGCATCATTTATGAAATAAATAAATGACTAATCACAATTTGAGTTCAATAATTTTCTTCATTTGATTGCCAATATTTAGCGTCCCAAGCTACAGTGTGTCTTATTCGCAGATTTGCATCCCAGGATGATTTGAATCCTCTTTACTGTCATATTTGAAACGGAGTTGCTATAATATTTAAGATGACTTCATTCTTTCCTAACATAACCAACATTATCATCTTATACAAATTTCATCAAGTCAAACTTCTGATTCAAAATGAATCATATTAATCATCCGTTGGGTCTATACAAAGCTAAGTACGACGCGGACCCAATAATGAAATACTGATCGATCTCAATAGAAGTGATATCTTATTAATTAACTTTTTTCATTCCATGACTCTGAAAAAAAAAGAAAGAAAAAGAGAAAGGAAAATAAAAAAGAGAACATCTCCGACTAACTCATGGAAGCGCCTATCTCTTTAGACGAGAGATGAGGAACAAAGCGAGCGTGGTGATCAAATCCAAATCATTCTCGTCCTTGGTCAAAGGATCATCTCCCCCTCCCCCTTCAGCGAACAAATCGCCACAATTGTAAGCACGCCCCCTCACCTCACTAATCCTCGACAAAGTATCGGAATAGTTCCCTCTATTGAACTGATCTACGGCTCCAACAAGGAGATCGATCTGGGAGCTATAAACCTCGTCCAGGCACATTTGCAGCGTCTCCTTCGTGTCCGCGCTGTAGTTTCCGTTCTTGATCATGTCCTTGATTCTTGACCTGGTCCCGGTCGCATTGTTCAGGGAGAGCTGGGCGCCGATGAGGCCTAGTTCTCTGGGGCTGGCGGTTTCGCTTTTGGGGTTTGCTTGGAG